AAAGCTTCATTGTATGTGAGATCAATTTAATTCCCCTGTAGTTAGTGCAGTCCTGGATGTTACCCTTCTGTTTATATATGGGCACAATAGTGCTCTTCCTCCACTCCGATGGAATTTTCTCTTGCTCATATATTTTATTTAAAAGGTCCCACAAAACATCTACAGCAGCCTCCCCAAGGCTTTTCCATGCTTCTATCGGGATGTTATCCGGTCCAACAGCTTTGTTTGATTTCATTAATCTCAGCGCCTTTTCCACTTCTCTACGTGATATGTTATCAGTCCTCCTCTCTGTTGGTAAGCCCGCTCCTGTTTCCACTCTTGGGTTCTCTACATTCATTAAGTTTTCAAAATATTCCTTCCATCTCCTTTTTATAGCATCATCATCATACAAAACATTTCCTTCTGTATCCTTCATATGCCTGATATGTGTCTGATCTTTCGTACTCTTGTCTCTGGCCTTTGCTATTCTATAAATCTTTTTCTGTCCTCCTCTTGTATCGAGTTCTTGATACATTTCTTCCCTTGCCTCAGCTTTAGCTACTGCCACTGCTTTCTTTGCTGCTTTGTTCGCTGTTTTAAGCCTTTCTTCATTTTCCTCATTTCTGTTTTTGTAATATTCCTTCCTTGTAATCTTCTTCTGCTTTATAGTTTCCGATATTTCTTCCTTCCACCACCAAGTTTCCTTGTCATTGGGTGGTCCTTTACCAGATGTCATCCCCAATATTTCCTCTGCAGCTTGTCGGATCATTGAAGCATTCAAATTCCACCACTCTTCAACTCCCTCCCTCAACTCTATCTGCTCCAGCACTCTCTCCCTGAACAAACTTCTCTGGTCTTCGTCTTTCAAATTCCACCACTTAATCTTAGGTATTGCCCTTTTCTTTCCTTTCCTCCCTCTTTTAATGTTAAACTCCCCAATAATCAGGTGATGTTGTTTGGCAGCTGTTTCTCCCTTAATTACCTTAAAATTTCTGACTTCACTCATTTTACTTCTCTTGTATAATATGTAGTCCAATTGTGTTTCCTGTCCTCCACTTTCATATGTATTGTAATCCTTCTTTTTGAAGAACGTGTTCAATATAGCCAGATCGTATGCCACTGCGAAGTCAATTAGCCGTTCTCCGTTGGGATTTACAGCCCCGCTCCCATATCTACCATGGACACGCTCTATTGCCAAGTTTCTCTCTCCCACGTGACCATTGAAATCGCCAGCAATCAAGGCTGTTTCAACATCCGGTATCTCTGTGCACATACTATCTAGGTCTTGCCAAAATTTGTCTTTCTCTTCATCATCGCAGCCTACTTGTGGTGCATATACACTCATTATATTAATGATTGTATTTCCGATAATTAGTTTAATCAACATTATTCGGTCATTCTTTCTCCAGACACTGATGACGTTTTCTTTATGATTGGGACTCAGGATTATTCCAACTCCATTCCTTCCTCTTCCATCTGCTCCACTGTAGAAAAGCTTAAAGCCTCTCCCCAGCTCTCGGGCCTTATTCCCCCTCCATCGTGTTTCCTGTAGGCAAAGTACCTCCAACTTTCTTCTCTCCATGAGATCCACAACCTCCCTCCCCTTTCCTGACATTGTGCCAACATTAAGGCTGCCGACTTTAACGGCTTGAATTTGAGTGGAGTTAGGCATTTCACCTCTCCCTGCAAAACCGGATATTCTTAGCACCCTCTGCCCATTTAAGGGCTGCCGGGGACTGAGGGCCAATATTCTTTCAGCTTCTGTCATGTTGGTTTGGAGCGGTTTTTATTTTACGCCGCGGATGCCCTTCCCGTCCAGCAAACACTCTGGCATTTATCCGGGCTTGTGACCGGCATCAGTTGGGCTGGCTTGCCCCCCAAGTGGCTGCATTAACAAAATAAACATAGTCCATTCCTTTAAATATATCGTATACATATATATGTGTCATATGGAAATACATTTCTTAGCACATCCATTAAACAATATCAACAAACCTTTTATTGTAACATCTGGGCTCCAAAGGTTAAACAAATCGGCAACAAATGATTATGAAATGTAGTCGAACCGCTACAACACTGGCCACATGCAATAGAACATCCACAGATTCCTATGGCAAAAATAAACCTACAAAACATAGCATAAAGCCATTATCACTTATTTGTGGTGGACTAACATGTCTTAACACGGATATCAAACAAAATAATTGCATTAAAACTCACGATAATAAATATCACAATCCAAAAACTACGGAGAGAGGCCAGAGCAATCCCTTGGTCAGCTACTTCGAGGTTTGTAAATAGAAGTCGGAGTCTCACGTGATTCAAACACATGAGGCTTCATGAGCTTCCGCCTCTCTATTCGCACAACAAAATGAAAATCTCATGATTCCATCCACATACATACATATATACATACACGCAAAAATATGCACATATATGTATACACATATACACACACATATGCATATACTGTGTGTATATATTATGTATATATATAATATACATATACGTTGTCAACATAAGTATATATGCGTGTATACATATATATAAATATGTATATTTGTGTGAGCTTGTGTGTGTGTATAAATACACATGTGCACACCCAGTGTATAATATATATATATATATATGTATGTATAAACACATACGTAAATATATATACACACACACATACACATATATATGTGTATATTCGTATATATATGTATATGCATATATATATATATATATTATATATATATATATATATATATATATAATACTTATTTATTCATAGGTGTGGGTGTATATATACATATATACAGCACACACGCACACACGTTATATATATATATATATATATAATATATATATATATATATATATTATATATATATATATATATATATATATACATATATAAATATATATATATATGTATATATATATTCATATCAAATACATATATATATATATGTATATATATATTATATATATATATATATATATATATATATATATATATATATATATATATATATATAAACCCACTCACACACCCACACACGTACCTTCACTTGCGAAACCAATGCTAACTGTTTGCATCATGCATTAATAACGGAAAAAGACACCAAACAATTTGTTTGGAATCTGGAAGCCTGAGTTCTTATGGAGTCTTGACTTTACTTGTCTATTCTGTTTTTCTTCAACATAAATTTATCTTGTCTGATTAAGGGAAAACACTTTTATTCTATCAAGATTTGCTATTCATGTAGTTTTAATATCGAAGATGCATGTACGCATATGGTTGGCTGTATAGATATGGGATATGAGTCTATGGATGGGTTGATATATCGTCAGTATCTGAAAGAGGTGTACACAATTACAAAAAAAGTATCAAGTTCATCTAAACATGTAGCTACGTTGCATTAAAAAAACGAAAACATTCTTCGCTTCCGCCTGTAAATATAACAGTGCGATTTAGCTCTTTAATCCGACATTAATCCACTGAGAGGATTTAAGATACAAGAGACCCATGACCGCACGGCAGTTTGTCACCGTGTTTATAGTGTAAGCGCCCTGACCGCCTCTCAGGTGCGCCTTCAGAATTTCAACTTCTTTTCCCGCCATAATAAAAAAAATCAGTAACGTTTAAATACAGCTATGAATGGGAATGAATAATTCCGAAGTGCATGATGTAGAATTAACTATGAGAAAGGCAATGAATTTCTAGCAGTCGTTGCATTTTGAAAGTATTGATTCCCATTCATATTTTCCAATATGTCACACTAAACGATAACAAAAACAATAGTAACATAAATAAATCCTAGTTATCGACACATAAACAAACAAACAAACAAAAGAAAATGTAATGCAATGATTACAAACCAATTTTCATTCATAACGGTTACTGCAACGATGCATATTGTCGAAAGGGCGGAGTCTAACTTCTGCTTACAAATACGTAACATTTTGTATTCGATTCCAAAGGTTGCAGAATGTGATTGCATTAACTTACATTAACGTAAAAGGAGTAATCATGCTAAGTTATAATGCGCAAATCTGAATTACCAATGCTGGTATGTACTTTATTTAGTAGTAATAATAATATTCACAATAGTAGTAGTAATAATATTCACAATAATGTTGATAATGATAACAAAAATAGTAAGAATGATAACAATAACAATAATATAAATAATGATAATGATAATAACAACAGCAGTAATAGCAATAATAATAGCAGTAATAGTAGTAATAGTGATAAGTAATAATGATGACAATGATGTTGATATTTAATGTCTTATCATTATCATTATAGTTATTTTTATTATTATTTTTCATTATCATTATTACTAATAGCAGTACTGCTACTATTGTCGTTATTGTTATTACTGTGATTAGGAATATCCTTATTGCAACCATTATCGTTATTTTCAATATCATAATGATCTTATAATGACAATCATAATTACAATAATGATAATGTTAATGACAGCAATAGTAACAAAAATAATGATAATAATGATAAAATATCAATATTGACTGAAAAAAATAATAATGATAATGATGCTAATGACGATATAAATACTAATAACAATAACTTTAATGATGATAATGTTAATGATTATAATACCAAAATGGTAGTAATCATATTGTTAAAGTTAATCTTGGTAGTTGTAATAACGATAATGCCAATGGTAACAACCACAACACACAATAATGTTAATCGTAATGATAGCATTAGTTATTGTTGTTGAGAAAATACATTGTGTTATGTATATTAAGAAATAACGCAAAAAAACACGTATTCAAGAGGTTTCGCTTTGTACTTATATAAAAAGCGTTTGACTCATTTAGGTATGTAATTCTACCCACTGTAGTGACGGTAATTGTGAAAATGCAAGTCACGGCAAGGCAGCTCGATTGTACCTTAAATCAACAACCTTTAAAACCACCAAACTATAAAACTGGTTGAAGTATGCTTATTGTCGATTTTACTGTTCATGTTATCGAACTTCATAATGATTTACTCAAGGAAAAGACACGTGAATCATTTATAAATCGCTAAAATACATAAGGATAAATGAGCGTCGTGTACTGGTAAGATTACAAGAGTTGCCAACGTGTAGTATAACGCAAACCACATTTACGCGCAGAGAAAACGGGGGTAGTTGTGTGAAATCACCGTCAAGGTAAGTGCTGTAGTCGCACAAATTTTTGATTTAGAGAATGCACTTTAACATCAATTTCTTCGGATTATTGATAAGATCATACGAGTTGAAACGTGTCAATAAGACATATTTTAACCACTTTATTTGCATTTATTAGAGATTAAAAAAATATATAGATGTCCCTCCCCTATGAATGCGTGGAGGAGAATGGCATCTAGAGAGATAACTTAAACTACTTGTTTACTGCTACTGAATGTATATTTATCGTATTTTCTCGTTTTTATACAAAATACTGCGGCACTTTACTGATTGCGGGAGCTGGCAGAAAGTGAAATAATTGTATTTCACTTGCCTTATCAAGCACTTGCCAGAGTTTGATGTTAAATTATGGAATAAAATAGAATAGCAGCAGGGGCCTTAAATTTGGTTTGTATTTCAGCTGAATTCAAGCAATAGATTATCATTTGAAAAACTGATAACACACTCCACAGAAGCAACATTATACCGATATGGATGCCAGTTTTGCATGCGAGGCAATTTATTGTTATAATTGTTACTTTTTTTATATTAATATTATTCGCATTACTATGGCTGTCCCATTGTTACGATCATCATTAATTTTAGCATCGCCATTACCTATAATTGCTTATGTTACTAGTATCACTGTTCCCTGTAACTTCATAACTCCGCAAGGAGGTTATGTTTTTCGTAGCGTTAGATTGTTAACAGGATAACTAAAAAAGTTATGAATGATATTTATGAAATTTATTACCAGAGGTGTGTCTTAACCTAACTTGCCATTAAATTTTGGTGGTGATCCGCATCAGGATTTTTTTTTTCAAGGGATTGCAGAAAGAGAAAGAGAAAGAGAGAAAGAAAGAGAAAGAGAAAGAAAGAGAAAGAGAGAAAGAAAGAGAAAGAGAGAGAGAGAGAAAGAGAGAGAGAGAGAGAGAGAGAGAGAGAGAGAGAGAGAGAGAGAGAGAGAGGAAGAGAGAGAGAGAGAGAGAGAGAGAGAGAATACAGGGAAGGATAACTTAGCCTAACTTAGTTGCACTTACATTTTGGTGGTGATCCAGATCATCATCCGGATCCAGAATTGTTTTATGATTACATGAGTTACCCCTATTGCAAATGCAACTCAAAAAATTAAGAACAGATTTTATGATTTTTTTACCCGAGGTGTGACTTAACCTAACTTAGATGCCATTAAATTTTGGTGGTAACCGGATCCAGGAATTTTTCAAGTGATTGCATCGGTTAACCTTATATAAAGGGGTAACTGTTATCATTATCGTTACTTCTATTTCCTCTGTTTACTGATGTCACTAGTCTACTTGAAAAAAGGTGATTTCAATGTGATATATTAAGTGTGAATATTTTTCTTGCATCAGTGACCCTATTACCCTCGCGAAGGTATACACTGAGTGCTTTTAGTTATCATTATTATTATCAATGTGCGTGGTTATGTATTCAGATAGATAGATAGGCAGATAGATATGGCTATATAAATTGTATATCTATAGGAGAGTGAATATACAATTACCTTTTTTTTTCTTTCTTTTTCTTTTTTTTCTTTTACCAAGGGCACAAATATGCTGCAAAATGTCCAGGACGTCTGGCTGCCCGCTCGCTTCGCCGGCAGGGCCCTGAGACTGCTCTGGGGCAAGAACAAGCCCGTCACCATAACTGTGGTGGTGGTGGTTGGTGTCATGAAAATACGAAGCTACATGAAGAAGCAGGAGAGGAGGTGAGATTTTTTGGTAGATATTTATTTTCATCGGTGCAGTTATTTGACAGTTTTTTATTCATTCATTATTATTATTATTATTATTTTTTTTGTTTTGTTTCTAAAAGTTTTATCTGTCTGCTAACTTTCTCATATATCTGTCCCGATTTTTACCCATCTGTGAGTGTGTCTGTATACTGCATAGTCATTTATTTATTTTTTATTCGAATGTTAAGAAAAGTGTCCCCGTAAAAGTAGCAAAGAATTAGATATAAGCAAAGGAAGACAGTGAAGATAATTCAATTTTCTGAGATCTCGATATAGGAAAATCTGAACATCATATTTGATCTCAAAATTGTTACGAATATTTTTTCAATGCACCAAAAATGAAGAAATGATAGTAATAATCCTAATGAAAATAAGCCAACCCCCAGAGGTTCCATATCCTAAGAAGTGCAGCACCCTGAACGAAGGTCCGTTTCTCGCAGGAGGAGGTGGAACAACGCCGGCAAGGACGTGGTGGTCCTGCACATTCCGCCCCGGGGATTCTTCTGCCCGAGTCTGTCCCCTTCGTCGTCAAGCTCGAGACCTACGTCAGGATGGCGGAGATCCCTCATGTGGTGAGTATCGTGTCTATTTGTAATTTTCGTTTCATTTTTTCTTTCTTTTCGTCATCCCATGGTCTGGTGTGGAGTGGCAGTATGATTAGGAAATTATTTATTTATTTATTTTTCTCTCTTTTACTTATTTTCGATGTTGTTGGTTTATTTTATTTTATTTTATAGTTGTTGATATTGATGGTGTTATCGTTCCCATTCTTATTGTCTGAATGTGTTGTTCTTTCTACGGAAACTACCATTGCTGTAATTCTTGCTGTACTCTTGTTGTTATTCCATTATTGTAATTTTCCTCGTGTTCTTGCGGCCATTATCTTCGGCTGGCTCTTCTTTGTGCCTTTATGTGTGCCGTGTGGTGCAGCGGTTAGCATGCTGGTCTAGCAGTCTTGCTGACCTGCGTTCAGTCCCACGCGCTTCCAGTGGATGGCAACACCGGCCCTTCCTTGCACAGAGGAGGAGATTTAGAAAGCAAAATAAAGCAGCCAGGATGTCAACAGCAAAGAATATCCTTATAAACAAATGGAATTAGAACTAAATCTTTATCCTTCGCGTTATCCTCCTTATTCCCGTGTACCTGACTCGCCCTCCTCGGCCCCGCAGATCGACCACGAGGAGCCCCTGGGACCCAAGGGGAAGACGCCCTGGATCACCCTCAACGGCGAGGACGTTGGCGACTCGCAGATGATCATCGAGAAACTGGCGGCCAAGTTCGGCAAGGAGTTCGACGCCCACTTGTCGCTGGAGGAGAAGGCCGTGGCTCACGCCCTGCGCGTCATGGTGGACGAGTACTTTGTCTGGTATGGTTCGGGTCTGTTCGTTTTTGTTCTTTTCTCTTATCCCTCTCTCCCCCTCGCCATCCCCTCTCTCTCTTTCTCCCTCTTTCCCTCCTCCTTCCACTCTTTCAGTCTCCACACTCTTGCACATATACACGCAAATAGATATAGATTTTTTCCCTTTTCACTCTCGCTATTCCCCCGCTCCAGGTGCCTCGGTGTCTACCGCTATGGCCAGGAACAAGGTCGCCACTTCCTCCTGAACGCCTCCATCCCTTGGTTTTACCGGCCGATCTTGCCCATTACTTTAAGAGGTATGTAGAGGCCGCAAAAGACGCAAGCATTGGGCGGCACAGCTACAGGGATGTAGAAGAGATGGGGAGGAAAAGCCTTCAGTCGCTCTCGGCTTGGCTCGGCAAGTTATGTTTCGCCTTGTCAGTGTTTGTAGAAGTTATTCATATTTTAAGTGTTAGTATAAGTTTTTAGAAAAAAAATATTGAGAATTTGGGCATCGGGATAGAAAGAATATATGTATAGTGTACGAAAAGTAATCACGTTAAAGTTGTTTGTTCGATACTTATGAATATTTATGTACCATAGGAAGCCCTTGCAGCTTAGGAATAAGAATCTAAAAATAACGGGTGAGGATGTATCACATTTAACACAGGGGCAGAAATATAAAGCTGAAAGTAGTCAGGAACGGAAACGAGGAAGAGTAAAAGATAATCACGAAACATTACAAGGAACATTCTATAATCACCTCGCTTATTAATTGGCACAGGTGAGAAGCCCTTCATGATGGGTGCCAATCCGACAGAACTGGACTGCACGGTCTTCGGCATGCTTGCGTTTGACGTGTTTTGTCCTCCTCTGTCGCCCTTCAAGAGGATGCTCGAGAGTAAGTGCTTCTCTCTCCTCTCTCTCTCTCTTCTCTCTCTCTCTCTCTATATATATATATATATTATATATATATGTATATATATATATATATATGTATATATTATATATATATATAATATATATTTTTTTTTCTTCTTCTTCTCTTCTCTCTCTCTCTCTCCTCTCTCTCTCTCTCTCTCACTCTCTCTCTCTCTCTCTCTCTCTCTCTCTCTCTCTCTCTCTCTTTCTCTCTCTTTCCTCTCTTTCTCTCTCCTCTCTCTTCTCCTCCCCCCCCCTCTCTCTCTCTCTCTCTCTCTCTCTCTCTTCTTCTCTTCTCTCTCTCTCTCTCTTCTCTCTCTCTCTCTCTCTCTCTCTCTCTCTCTCTCTTTCTCTTGTGTTCTTTTAAAGGTTGGAAAGCATGACCTTGCGCATCAAAAAGAAAAAAAAAACTAAACTAACAAATGTATTTCCGCACATACAAAACGAACAAATTCATACACACACTCACTGACATTTATATACCCATACGGAAGAAAAAATGTTAAAAACTTATTAAATAAACCATAAAAGAAATGCACAAAATATAGTGTTATCCGCAGCACACATTTTCATTAATAATGCTTAGAACGGGATGGTGTTCCTTAAGTATCATATTCCAATACCCATAAGAATGAGATACGATAATGAAAAAGGTAATGCTAATGATGATGGTATAATAATGATAATATAATAATATGATAATGATAATAATAATAATAATAATAACAATAATGATAATAATAATGATAATGATTAGTAACAACACTAGTAATGCTAATGGTGATGATAATGATGATAATAATAATAGAATAATGATAATAATAATGATAATGATGTCAACGATAGTAATAATAAAAATGATAGTGATGATAATAATAATGATAATATAGTTGTAGTAATGATGATAATAATGACACTGGTAATGATAGCAGTAGTAATAATAATAATGATTATAAAAATATAATAATGGTAATGGTAATGATGGTGATACTAAAAAAAATCATAATGATATTAATAATAATGATAATGATAATGATAATGATAACAACCATTACCATTCCAGAAGACTACCGGAACCTGCACGCGTATTGCCACCGCATGAAGGAGAAGTTTCTGGCCGGACTGGGACAAGTGCCTCGACCCGAATCGCCGCTGAGAGAGGGGTCGTGTGCAACGGAAGGAGAGACGGAGATGCAACAGTTATGCAACAGATGTAGATGAATTATACACGTTCGGTTATTTTTTTCTAGAACAGCAACCTTGTCAAGTAATTTGTTACTATATACTAAGGTATCAACGAAGGTCTTACTATTGAGATATTCATCTTCATTTTTTTTTTACTTCTGTTAACATTTCTTTTTTATTTATTTGATAATTGAGGCAGCATTCATGCGATAGATTACATGACATAATTAGGTATTCAATTTATTATATATTATTTATATGATTACGTGTTTTATATATATTACTGATGCAAAGAAGAAATACAGGCTGTTGTAAATAGCGTTTTCTGCTTTGGTCTGATAGCGTTGTAATTCTTTGAAAATTGTATCTAACGCTATTTCTATTTGTTATAATGTCTTTGATGTATTGTGTGAATAAATGTGATCAATATAAGGAAATATTATTTTACTGAAGCTGCTTTTGTTCTATATATTATTATTATTATTAGTAGTAGTAGTATTAGGTGTAGTAGTAGTATCATTATTATTATTATCAATAGTAGTAGTAGTAGCAGTAGTATCATTATTATTATTATTGTTATTTACTAGTAGTAGTAGTAAATAGTAGTATTTTTTCCCACGTCACTCGTCTCTGCATCTTATTTTTCGCTCCCTCTGCTGCTCCCAAGCTGACGGGCCACGAAGCTGACCAGCGGTTCCCAAACATTTCCAGGCTGGCGCCCCCCTGTCTACCAGGTGGATGTCTAGATCCTCTTTCGTATGCTTGGAAATGAAAACAAAATTATATACGAAGACCTATTTCACGGATATAAACTAATTTAGTAAACCAATTTATTAGCAGTTTTAGCTACGTAAGCAATATGGAAGACTAAATCATCTCACTAGTAATCAAAGTATATAATTCACTATCTTCACAGTTAGTGTTTTTAGGCTGGATGTGAGTGGTGCATAGTTTGTTGTTATTCAGATTTATATGTATATATATATACATATATATATACATATAATAATATATATATATATATATATATATATATAATATATATATATATATTTTTTTTTTTTTTTTTTTTTTTTTTTTTTTTTTTTTTCATTGTTTCTGATGCCATCCTGTCGCCCCCACCACCTCCTTTGACTTCAGCCCCCAGATCTTTTTATTTACACTCACTGACACACACTCTCTCCTTTTGTTTCTTTCTCTCTCAGTCATATAGTGTAGATCAGCCTGATTGTCTGACTGTCTTATAAGGAATTTATACCTTATCAGTTGTAGATAAACTGATAAAGCATACAATTTCCCACGAAACGCACCACACCCATCCAGTCTTGCCAGCGTCCGCATTCCCAAAGGGCGCACGGGATGACGGCTCAGCCCCCCAGCAGGTTCTCTCTCCAAAGGGCCTCGCAGGTGCTGGCTGACTCCGTCGACAGCATCCAGCGCTTCCTCGACGGGACTTTCGACGTCCGGCTCTTCCTCAGTTACGTCCTGAAGAGCTTCTCCTTCCACATCCTCGCCTCGTGGAGCTTCTCCTTGGCAGCACTCGTTGTTTTCTGCTGCGTCGTCTTCAGGAGGGGTGAGGCCCGAGCGAGAAGCAGCGCCGCCCGTGGAAATGAAGCAAGAAATGAACGGCCGCCGTCGGTAAGTCTTCGTGGAAACGGAGGGAGGGAGAGTGGAGGCAGGGGAAAGGAGATCGAGAAATCACAGGCAGACAAGCAAGCAGACACAGCCAGAGAAAGGGGAAAGTAAGAGAAAGATGAGGGTGTGAATGAGGTGGGAATAGACAAACAGGAGGATTGGAGGCCAACAGATAGACAGAATCAGAACAACATACAGGAAACAGATGCCATGAGAGGGATGGCGGGAGAGATAAAGACTAAAATCAAGCAAAGAGACGCATTGAATCGAGCGATGAGAGCAACAGATAGATAGATAGAGAATGCGAAAGGAACCAACATAAATGAACAGAAAGACAAATAGAAAAAAGGGTGGAAAGGGAGAGGGTGGAAGGGACGAAAATCATGAAAAGAGGCAGAAATACGTAATGAAGTGAGACAGTGAAAGAGAGATAGCAAACATTTAACAGACGCGAAAAATAGATACCGATATATATATTTTTTAATAGATAATCTTATCGCGCAGGACTATAGCCTCAAATACATGAGTAATCTACGTTCTCTCTTCATCAGCACTTTGAATGGATTGGCGTTATCACGATCAGATAATATTTAAATGCCAATAGGTGATTTCTAAGGGCTGATCGCCTGCTACTTGGATGTAGTTCGTTCACCAACACCCCTTTCATCATGAACACTCTCTTATCGTTTACAGTAATACCCATTGTAGCGTCGGTGTTGTGAGAATATGATACCGATCAGTTCTCTCTGCTACCGCCCTAGGCATAGCAATGAACGTGCCTTAAGTTTTCGCTTCCTGAGGTCATTTTAACACGGAAGTTATGACCAGTTTGTTTACATAAGAAGTGCTGTTTCAGATAAGCGCCGTTTGCCACTATCTCCAGTCAATGAGGATGAACGCTTACTCAACAGATTGTCTTCCGTTTTCTTTCAACATTTAATGGTGAAACTAATCTAATTAATTTGTCGGAAAATATGTGGACCTTCCTCCTCCATGATAAATTTCCTATTAACGCTGCTGCTGGGAATCCACAAGAACGAGAAGCTTCATAATACATGTACAGTAAATATAAAACTAGGGAAAATATAGTTACATGCATCCTCGCTGAATAAAAAAAGATGTGCTGGTAAAAAGAACACTGGTAAAGAACACTACAGGAAACACCTTAAAACACGATCTGTTATCACGATCTATCAACATATTCGATAAATTTAAAATGAGGAAAAAGATGTTTCTTCTAACCACCCCATGGTTAACAAAGTGTCCCAGGATTATATCGCCAGTCAATCTATTCATTCATTCAGCCTAGTCAATCGTCATAAAGCTTTCCCTCTTTTGAAAAAAATATATATATTGCTTGTCACATTATTGATAATAGGTGACACGAGTTATCCTGAAGATCTGCTTCCTCCTGCATGCAAAAAGAAACAGGGATATTCTGCCTGCTGGAAAACTTGAAACAGCATTGAAAGCGCTAGGTACGAATAAGCATACTACGCATATTTCGATCTAAAGGTTTTTGATCATAAGAATTATGTTCCTCACATCATTTGCAATAGCTGTGCAAATCATCTCCAAAAGGTAGAAGAGATTCGCCTAAATTTGGGATCCTCTTGGTGGGGCGAGAACCATAGAACCATGTGGATGACTGTTGCTTTTGTCTTACTAATTTTGTAAGAGATTTATATCTCTCCAAAGAATCTTAAAGCTTTTAACCTCAAGACATAAAGAATGTTGAAAAGTAGGACAAGCATTTTATTTTCTTTTTGTCGTAAAGCTGATTTTGTACCTTTCTTTCACGAGAATATATATATATTTTTTGTCAAGTGTCTGGTCTAGTAGCAGCGTTGAGCCTGAAAGATTATAATCTTGACACTCGGCCTCGAGTTATTGGGCCTCAAAGTTTATATTCCTGACAATTGGCGACTGTTCATCGCCAGCTCAAAACGCCAACAGACAGGCTTCTATTTCATCAGCCCATCAACAGTGGGCAGAGAGCATCATGACATCAAACGTGTTGTGAAAAATAGAATATTAACATTGTTTTTTTCTGTTGTGATTTAAAAATGGTCAATATTCTAAGGGCAACAACACAGCTACACAGAATATCCTTGCTTTCTTCGAGGTGTAGACTGACTGGCCTTTGTAGATTGCAATGGTTTAGGGAGAGAAAAAAGGTTAATGCTGAACCTCTCGTATCGCATGAAAAAATCACTTTCCACTTTTGCATGTCAGACTTGGATTATCCAAAGTTTGTTAAAGCTTTAAATGAGGATGGCGATTGCTCTAAGTACATTTGCAAAACATTTCCTGGTTTGAGTGATGAGAAAATGAAAGATGGTACGTTTGATGGGCTGCAAATTAGGTACCTAATCAAGGATCCCTTCATTAGACTCATGGCGCCAGATGAATCCTGCATGGTTCCATTCAAGCATTTTGTTGAGAACTTCAGAAATCTCGTATAGTAATTGCAAAAAAACTGGTCCAAAACTTGATGAAAAGCCTCCAGGCCTTGGGAGCAAACATGAGCATCAAAGTCCACTACATCAAGATCCCGGAAATCCTTGTGGATGGAAGCGACGAGCAAGGACAGCGTTTTCCTCAGGACATCCGAATCCTGGAAGAAAGATATCAAGGTCGTTGAGACAAGCAAAGGATGGCTGACTACTACTTGAGTCCTCATCGAGATTTTCCTGATGTTCCTTAGCCATGTAAATCGAAGAAGTTGTTACTTTTGTCTCTGAAATGATGTATAGTGATGTGATAATTTTCTTGGTATGTTTTCAAGTATATATATATTTTCCATCTGGTATTTATATAATTGCTCAAGGTTCTACACTTTTTTCTTCTTTTTATGATATTGATTTATATGACAAATACAGTACTTTACTTTTTGCTGAAAATGGAAACCAGTGACAAGAAAACTAGAGCCAATGGGGGAAATGACTGTGACAATAGAAACCAGCATCCAGAAAATCGGTATTTACATTTATTGCAACAAAGAATTTTCTTGTACCAGTGTAATCAAAGGTGATTTAGTCCTTGCTCTAAGACTAATTTCCAATGGTTAATGTGTAGATTACCATTTTAATTATGATCTTTAATTACGATCTCTTGTGTGGAATTCATGATGAACAGATTGCAACAGGAACACCGAAGGGAAGGGCAAGAAAACACACGAATATGCCTATTCGTGTGTTTTCTTGTCCTTCCCTTCGTTGTTCCTGTTGCACGATCTCCTGTCAAGAACAGACTAAAGGCCAGACGAAGTCCTAAAGGAATGGGGATGAGGAGGTGCTTCTGGACTATGCTTCAGTATCATCGTCTTTTTGGTACTCGTGTTGGGTTACTTCAGCAAATTATGAAGAGGAAATGGCCTTTAGTCCAGAAGGGCACATAAGATCTCACAGAATTTAAGAACTAACGTTATGTAGAGTTACAAGTGATGAGCAAGGGGTCCTTGGCTCCGTCTTCATCTGCGCTGTGAGTGAGAAGACAGGGTGATTATGGTTCTGTCTTCACTTATGTTGCGTGTCAAACAAGTGACAAGCAAGGGATAACTTTTCAGGAATGGTCAGGCGTAGGTTCGGCAACTACTATATAATCAAGAAAATATTCTGTACTCCTTGCCTACATACAGAAATACATCGATTTGTAACTGGGTATGTTTGTGTGCATGTGCGTTCGTGTGTTTTTGGGTCTGTGTTTGGATGTGCTTTTGTTTTCATCATCAGTGTAACTGATCCCATAATATGCGTTTGAATATAATAATTACCCAGCCCCTTATTTCCTTTTCTTTATAAAATGTGTACATATTATAAAACTAAATTGAACTAATTAGAGAGCCATGTACATTATCCTGTACCTGTGTTACCCCTGTAAGCGGAATGTCTCTCACTGTTTTCCTCCCTTTCAGTCCGCCAGCAGGTTCTCCCTTCAGTGGGTCTTGCACATGCTATGTGTTGCGATAGACTCCGTCGATACCGTCCTTCGTTTCCTCGACGATCGCACGGGGACTTTTGACGTCTACCTCTTCCTCAGTTACATCTTAAAGGGCTTCCTTTTTAACATCCTCGCGTCGTGGAGCTACGTCGGAGCAGGACTCGTTCTCTTCTACCGCGTCTCCTCGAGAGAGCGCGAGGCCAAGTTAGACAAGAAGATAGCCCTCGCGAGAACCGACGCCGCTACGTTCAAGGCCTTGTACGAGGATACGGGAATCGAGCTGCCTCCGTGGGTGAGTCAGTGGGAAATAGCGGGGGGGGGGGCGTAAGGGGATCGAGAGAGAACGGAAAGATTATCTGACAGAGAAAGAAAAACACAGCAAGAGAAAGAGACGGAAAAAATGACAGGAAAGAGAAATAGAGAATGTGTTTACCATCCATTTTTCTAAACAACTGAAAAAATACGAACTTCGTAAGCTTTTGCATTGTAATTCCAATTAGGACTGCATTTAGAAGCTGCAAAGGCATACACTAAACAGCATAGATATTAAACCATATACTACATGTCTAATAAACGCATGATTGATTGTTATAGAATTTATTGTTTTTGTAGGATCTGCATAGGAGGGATGATGAATATATGCCATTGACGGTATTAGTTAGAGAATAATCTAAAGAGAGTAGATACTGATCAACTGAACTTTTACAGCGATAACTAAAATCCTTTTAATTGTATGTTAGATGATGAGTAGGATATTTAGCAAAAATGTCGCCGCCCATTTGAGGAAAGCCCCTGGTGACTACAACCCATTGGTAAAAGGCTGATAAATGGCCTTTTCCTTGCTGACTGGCAGGAAAGCCGGTGTGGTTTATCAGATACTTACCTTATTTACCTTATTTACCTTTATTTACCTTAGAGAACCAACACATCCTCAGAGAAGTGATGATCTTTGGTATCATTGAAATTATCAAAAGGAGATTATATTGCACAGTCAAGCCCAGCTCATCCAAAAGCTGATTGAAAATTTGGAATAATTTTGAGAGCTTTATTGTATTTATAAATATATGCAGATTGCATACATAGTCAATTCATTCACTAATCTTATATTTCCTGAATGAGTTTTTACATTGCATTTTACTGAACTTGATGGTTCGTATGTTTCAGATCACCTTTCCAGACACAGAGCGAGCAGAATGGGTAAACGAGGTAAATTCGCCTTCTCCTCCCTCTCTATCTACCTAGCTATCCATCTGTCTATCTGTCCATTTATATCTCTCTCTCCCTCCCTCCCCCCCTCCCTCCCCCCCCCCCCCTCTCTCTCTCTTCTCTCTCTCTCTCTCTCTCTCTCTCTCTCTCTCTCTCTCTCTCTCTCTCTCTCTCTCTTCTCTCTCTCTCTCTCTCTCTCTCTCTCTCTCTCTCTTCGTCCCACTATAATCATAGTGATTACAATGGAACTAAAAATCTTCATGTAAGCTTTGTGTTCCATTGCAATCATTATGATCATCATCACTCTCCGCCTTATAATGACTATCATTATCATTACTAATGATATGTCCTTGTTTTCACACTAGT